ATCCTTGTATATTTTGGAATTATTTGGAATCTTGATATATTTTTGGATATTTTTGGGATATATTGGAGATTTGTTGGAAATTTATTATTAGGGTTTTATTAGTTATTATTAATTATATTTAGTAAATATGTATAATTTTAACATTTTAATATCTTACAAAAACAATTTTTTTTGGTTTATAAATTATAACAATAATATTTTTCATTTTGCATTATTTTCTCGTTGTTTCTCCCCGTTGTGTTTCCTCTTTTTTTCTCCCCTTTTTTTCTCCCCGTTGTGTTTTCCCAGTGTGTCTTACCGTTTTTGGGTCGAAGTCCTCGAGCCAGCCTTTCCGCCTTTTCGCTAAAAAAAAAAGCAAACGGATGGAAACAAAATGAAATAAAGCGACTTTCAAAATCTTTCAGGCATTTTTCACCAATCTATAAAATTGAAGGGGTTGATAGTGAACACTTGGAGCCTTTGGGCTCTATAAAATTGAAGTATATAAGGTAAGATGGGTAAGAGTAACTAGAGTATTCAGGTCAGCTGTCAATAAAGAAGGGTTGGGGAGCCTGATTTTATAGAAGGCCAATTAATCCCCCCAACCATCTACGAGAGTGACTTGGCGGCATCGATTCTATAGAGATTGTCAACTTGAAAATACCTTGGGGTCTTTGATTCTATAGATACATTTTCGGAAAGGGGGGTCATATCCTCCTGATTTATCACTATAAAATTGCTAACACTAACCCTTTCACTTAATACAAAGGGGAATATTATAATAATTAATATAATAAAATAAATATAATAATTAATATTATTATATATATAATATATATATTTATCATTTTCGAATATAATATATAATATATAATATATAATATATAATATATAATATATGATATATGATATATAATATATAATATATAATAGATAATATATAATATATAATATATAATATATAATATATAATATAATTATATAATTATATATAATTTTAAAAATATATATTATAATTAATTTTTTTTATTTATATAAATTAATTATATTAATATATTAAATTTCATTATATATATTATAAATATAGATATTAATTATATTATAATTAATTATTTTACAATTAAATAAATAAATAAATATATAAGTATATAAATATAAATATATATATATTTAAAATTAATATATATTTATATTTAAATATATATATAATTAATTAATAAGATTATATTATAATTAAATATTATAATTAAATATTATAATTAAATATTATAATTAAATATATATAAATAATATTTATATATATTTAATAAAATTATAATTAAATATTAAATAATATAATTAAATATATATTAATTATTATTATTATTTAATATAAAATTAAATTTAATAAATTATTTATATATTATATTTTGATATTTAGGAATATTATAAATATGATAAAAAATATTATATTTTTTTGAAATTATTATAAATATTCGATTAAATCAAAAAAAAAAAAAAATATTTTAATGTATATTTAAATTCGATATTTGTATGGGATTTAAATTTTGCGAAATTTATATTTTCTAAATTTTACAATTCCATTTAAAATCTAGAAATCTAATTTTTTTATCGTTCGGCAAATAACATTAAATTGGAGGTTTTCGACGGAATATTTGGTCCGTTCTTTAAGGCTATGGGAAATAAGATTTTGTAAGGAATTCGTTTTCCGAGATTGGAATATATATTGAAAATTAATAATTTTTTTTCAGAAAATAATATTAAATATTTGAATTTCTTAGCGGAATATTTGGTCCGTCCTTTAGGGTTATAAGGCTAAAATTTTACGAGAAATATATTTTCTAAATCTGGCAATTATATATATATTTTTTCCGTTCAGAAATCGATATTAGGCATTGGAGCCTTCCAGCGGAACACCTATCCGTTTTTCAGGATCATCGACCATGGAAATAAAATTTTGCGAGATATTACCTTCCGAACCTGGGAATTATATTTAAAATAAAATTCTTTTTCATTCAGACAGAAATAATATTAGGCACTGGAATCTGCCAACGAAATATATTTTTTCGTTCAAAAAATAATGTCAGATATTGGAAATTCCCAATGGAATTCTAAATTATTTTTTACGGAATATAGGATTAAGATTGTGTATTTTTATTTTTTTTTCAAAATTTGTAATTCCATATTTTATTATTATTATTATTTTTATTTATTTTTTTTATTCAAACAATACATATTAAATATTGATATTTCTTGATGAATTATTTGTTCCATTTTTCAAGGATATGGAGATAAGAATTTGTAAGATAAATATTTTCCGAATTTGGTAATTGTTAAATTGAGATTTTTTTAATTATATTTATTATGTATTTTTTTATTTAAAAAAAATCTTCATAAAATAAATTAATTTTAATTTTTGAATAATGATTTCGGCATTGGATTTCCCACCGAAATTTGTAGTCTGTCTACCGAAATATCTAATTTATCTTTCAAGGGCATAAATGG